TCAATTACATAAATATTAGCATTGGTTATCTCTATTGTTTATGAGTATCTCTACTCAAATGTTGTCAAATTTTGCTAAAAGAAAGAAAAAAAACATACTTTTGTAAATGCTGCAATTGACCTGCTGGGGGCGACACATGACAGGTAACACGAGTTACGTAATCAGATTACTTTTTTCAAGTAACAAGTAAAGAGATGCATTACTTTTAAATTTACAACAAAATATCTGAGTTACTTTTTCAAATAAGTAATGCAAGTTAACGCAAGTTTGTTTTCCCATTTATTGACAGATACATGCGTACTATGAAAGCTTGTTTCTGTCATAGAAAAAAAACTAAAAAAGGTAATTGCAACTTTTTTTTTCTCACAACTCGCAATTCTGACTTTATAACACATATGTTGGAGATATAAGGCCTCAAGATTTTGCGCCTCAAAAAAGTCAACACACACACTTTTAAGAATTGAAACTTTGGTTTTTCGTGCTAAAAGTTCGTAATAAAACATAATTAGTATTCGTCAATAAAAAAAGATACAATTATATTTTAAAAAGTAAGGTAAGAAGTCCTCTAAAAAGTATAATATATTATACATATATAAATATAATATATTTATAATTATTATATCACATATTTTCGTAGTTATCATAAATAAGGTATCATTTCAAAGCTTACAAACTCAGAATTCATTCTGTGAAAACCGTTTTGAAATTGAACATTGCGTTACCATAGAAACGGTATTTTTTAATAGGCCCCTCCTCTTTTGGTTATTTCATAATTTATTGTCAAAACCTTTTCTAATCCTGACAAAACACATATTGTCAGAAAGGTCTGAGTCTCAAGGTTCCATGTTTAGTGACAGAAGTGATATTTGGAGAGAAATTTATTAATTTGTTATGGCAGAATGCATACAATTAAATTCAATGGAATTCTATGGCACCCGGTGGCTATTTTTGGTATAACGCCTAAACAAAATCTCATGGGAACTTCAATTTTTGTGATATCAACTTTAAATTTGGAAAACAACTTGGTTAGATAAATAGCTTTCATTTTATAGTAATTTTATAGTAAAAAATATTTTGTAAAATATACATACATATATAACTTTTTCATATTTTAATTTTTTGAAGTGTTTTCACTACTAATAATCTGCTGATTGTTTTCTTTAAAACAAGACCAAACTTAGGTCTATATTCCAAAGCATTCTTGAATTACAACCATTTAAGTTTGTATAGTGCATTTCAATGTCAATTATCAAAAAGGGGGGGGGGGGGGGGGGACAGGTAAAGGGTTAAATCTTGCAATTCTGAGAAATAAAATAAAAAAATATAAAATAAAAATAAACAAGATAATGGCAAAATGATTCAAATACAAAATGTGATAATCCGTTACACAAATGCAGAGATTTTTCATGTGAACTAGAGCAGCACAAGGTTATAAAATCACTTTCAGCTGTAAGACGTTTACTGAGTAGTATGTTTCATCTCCAGCCATTCATTATTTATGTCTAACAAAGAATAACTGAAATGCATGTGGGGTTGCATATTCATAATTTCAATTTCTCACACATGCCCAGCTAAAAATAACTCACCAATTATTGACAGGCCCAACAAAGGACTGGCTTCAGCCAAAGGTTAAACGTCTTTATGTCTATAGCCCATTTTAAATACGACCTGCGTGATTTTCATGCTGCGTGTCTGTCGTTGTTACATGGGGGTGACCCCGCTTAATGGTTTGTAAGCAATTCTTCACCTTAATCCTAAGCGGTTCCCCCGCACACTACTGCTGCTACATGCCATTAGTGAGATGACAAACATTGTAACCACATGAGGTAATGAGAACAGCTTGCTTGGGTTGACTCAACATGTGCGGCGTTGAGTTAAGTCTGTACTACATACCAATCCTCTCTCAGGTGCATAAACACATAAGTTATTAAAGGGATAGTTCACTTTGAAATTCATTTTCGATATGTTTTAGTTTACCTCAAGGGCATCCAAGATGTAGGTGTCTTTGTTTCCACAGTATTTTCAAATTTGAAATTTTTAGGTCAAAGCGTTCTTGTCTATCAGTCATATAATGGAGGTCTATGGTCACCACTTCAAAGAGCATGCACAGAGAAGTCCAAATTAAACATGATTTTATGACTCGTTAAAGTAAGTACACATTGATGGCCTAAGACACAAAACGAGCGGTTTGTGTGAGAAAACGAACAGTATTTATATCGTTTTTATCTTTTGTAACCACAGCCACGTACAAGTGATCTTAAGGCACGGGTGCCGGAAGTGATCTCTTGCGCGGTTGCGGGAAAAAAAAATCAACTTTGTCTGCAATTTTCTGTATATCTAAATTTGTTTAGATCTTCACAGTGAAGGGGAACACTTCTGAAATCTCTGTGTAAACAATGAGTGACGACACGCAAGAGATCACTTCCGGCTCCCGTCCCTTCAGATCAGTTGGACGTGGTTACAAGAGGTAAAAACAATATAAATACTGTTCGTTTTCTCACACAAACCGCTCATTTCGTGTCTTAGGCCATCAGTTTGTACTTACATTTACGAGTCATTAAATCATGTTTAATTTGGACTTCTCTGTGCATGCTCTGTGAGGTGGTGACCATAGACCTCCATTATATGACTGACAGACAAGAACGGTTTGACCTAAAAATATCAAAATTGAAAATGCTGTGGAAACAAAGACACCTACATCTTGGATGCCCTTGAGGTAAGCTAAAACATACTAAAAAATAATTTCAAAGTGAACTATCCCTTTAATGTATGGCATGAGGTTTAATGTTTAAGGCTTTAATGTTTTTTAACTATGTCCAAAAGTACCAATTGTTTAATATTCATAAAGCATTAAGAAAGCATAGAAATATGGTAGAAAGGAATGATTATGATATGCCAAAATATATATAAAAAATCCCCATAATGTAAAATTGACACTTGTGTTTGTTTTTGCAGAGCAACACAGCTTACATTTGATATGTTTTCTGTTCTTTGTTGGTTGGTGCAATGACCAAAAAGAAAATGAAAAAAAAAACAAGGGACAATGTTTGTAAAATATATCATCTGATGTCCTCAATCTTACACTAATAACTACAATACTTCATGACACTCATCACAACCGTTAAAAGAGATCCTCTCTTTTTCTGAGCAACGGCAGGCTTCAACAAACATGTGGTTTTGAGTGTAACGTCTTGACTTAACCCAAATCTGTAATTTTGTAATTATAAAGCTCTCATTGTTAATTATTGAATATTATTTTAATGATTAAATATTAAACATTTGATGCAAAATAGGAGAGACAACGGTATCAATCGTGATGACCTACTTAATCAATCACTTGTGATGTTCCCCAAGGCTCCGTGCTGGGACCAATATTGTTTCCTTGTACACTTCCACTCAACTGTGATTCAAGAATACGTAATGAACATGTACATTTTTTTATTGCTATGCATGAAAGTGTACTTTCTTTAGCTAAATACAGACACAAAATTGGTTAGACTTGCTCTGAGTTTCAAGGTTACTGTAAAACTTATAGATTTATACTGGCAAGTCAGGAAGATTTGCATACACTAGTCAACATTTGAAGTGGATCAACACCTTTTATTAAAGTTATTTATTTATAAAATACATGAATTTTGAACAATACCCGTTCTTGACAACTTTAATGAACCACTTCAAATGTATTTTATCTTGGATTTTAGTCTTGGATTTACCAAAATTTAAGTAGATTTTTCAATGTATTTTGGATTGTTTTATTGTATATTTTCTATAGAAACTGTAGAATTGGTTTATACATATAATTTTTATATGTATTTTATGTTTTTTTGTACCTATCATTATTAAGTGTTGTGAACCACTTTTTGATTTTGATATTTACGATAAAGTATTATTATTAAGTTCTTAATCCGATTCTGAGTAGCGAATTATTGAAATTATGATTCAATCCGTTAAAAAAGGGGGTTGGCTATATGTAGCAAACATCCCTTGAGTTTTCAATAATATAATAGACAATTGTTTTGGTTCTTTCAGTTTGGTTCCTTTCTACCGCATGTGTCATGACATAGCCATTCCTATTCCACATTTAGAAAACTTCTCTCATGGTTACCTAATGTGTCCCATGAGAGTATGACAAGGTTATACACCTCCCATAGATCACTTAAACTTCAGGTGGACCTTGCTTGCACCATGATGTTTGGCACCAAACTTTTGTCTTATTTCCTCAGTCTGACCTAATCTGACTACCGAATCCCATAATAATAAATCAATAAATCATATGATGGTGTTGTGTTAAAAAACAAACAAACATTAGAAATGAGTTAAAGATGTTGTCCTAATTAAGTTTGGAAATCAATTCCATATAATAAATGAGTAGCTGGCTAAAAATATTAGCAATATAATCAAAAATATCATCCTCGCCAAATATGGTTAAACGTTTTTTTAGCACACAGGTTGCGTTTGTTGTTTCACAACAGTGCCACTAAAGCATCAGATTCAGTGAATTGAAGTGTAAGAAAAGTTTGGCCAATTAGAATAAAAAATATGTATCCATATTGAATCTTTTTTGTTGTTGTTGTTGCATTATTCCACTGAAAAATCAAAATCAAATACATTAAAATAAATATCTAAAAATATATACCCAAAAAAAAAAAAAAAACCCCAAACATTTAAGATCTACCTTATGTGTAATATTTAATAATAATAATCACAAATTAATTTTAAGAGTGTGTGAAACTGTTTTGAGTCTCATATTTACTTGGCACCCTGGCTGACCGTCATAGCCGTACATGGCACTGGTTCTACAGCACTGTGATCACAGGGGTCTCGACCAAGGTGTTGAAAACAGAACTAGTGGGGGGTGTTGGTAGTCATGTGTCGTCATGTGCATGCCAGTCTCCATCAAAGCATGGATGACATCACCATCAATAATGCAGATAGCTCATCAATGACCAACGGGAGGGGGCTTGTGCATATAAAAAGAGGAAGAGTAGCCAAATCCGACACCGAACAACACATGGACCCTCTCAGCACAGCAGCTACCAAATACAAAAGCAGCCAAATAAAAGACAACAAGACTTGGTAAGTTTAGATGCCGTTGCCTCACTAACATTGACACTTCTTTCACAGTCTCTTAACTATATCTCACCCTACAGGTATCACTATGTCACCCATACGTTCTTTGGAGAAACCCGTGCTCATCATTGTGCTGTGGGGTCTTTGCAGTTTGCTGTATCTGGAGGGAGCACCGATCAGGTAATGTGGAATATGCGACAAATTGGTCCGAGATGTTGTTTGTGGTTTTTCAAATCTGACCATATCTCCATCTGCAACAGCAAGAGGTCAATCAGTGAAGTTCAGCTCATGCACAACGTTCGGGAGCACAAGGAGATGTTAGAAAGACAGGACTGGCTTCAGCTGAAGCTCAACAACATCCTCATTCCCTCATTAAATGACTCCCAAAAGGAGCAAAAGGGGAAAAACAACGGCCCATCCATCAGACGTTTAAGAAAGGGGGAAGGTCCGACCTGGATCAGGAACTGATGTTTTTTTAAAGCTAATGAACTCCAAATAATGAAAAGTGTTTTCTCGGTAACATCAGTGCAGGCGGAGGAGGACACAGTAAGTGTCAATTAAAGTATACTGCTGTACTTGGAGAAAGAAAGTGCACTGCTTTACTTATGTCTTTTATTTATTTATTTATTTATTTTCGAATAGTACTTTTATTTATTTGTAAATATTTGTTGTTATTTAGATATTAAAGCATATGTTCAGACCTTGTGTAGGACATACAAAGGACAATGTCTTAACCTTGTAGGCCTCAAGTCACTTGTTTCGTTTCTGTGTCACTATTTAAATGTTGTTGTTTTTTCTTAAAGAAAGATTTGTACTTGTTTTAGACATCCAGCAATTGCACTAAAATGTGGACCAACTGGATCTGTTTATCTGTACACTACATTATACAAAACAAGCTAAGACAATTTGTGTTTCTTTCTTTCTTTCTTTCTTTCTTTCTTTCTTTCTTTCTTTCTTTCTTTCTTTCTTTCTTTCTTTCTTTCTTTCTTTCTTTCTTTCTTTCTTTCTTATTGTTAGCAACTTGTAATTTAATAAATAAAAAATATATATTTTTAAAAAACGCATTGACCACGTCACGCAGTTCTCGCGATACTTTAGTGAAGTCGCGTTTCCTGTCAGCAGTTGGTGGAGATCAAATTCGCATTTTCAGGAAAAGCTGGTGGTCCTCTTCAAATTTTGATGGTTCTTCTTCTCAATTTACCTCACGGGAAAACTCCAGTATTCAATTATTTCACAAACTATGCTCACGATACTGTAAAAAGGTAAGACTTGTGTATATTTTTAATATAAACGGCTATTGTTTTGTTGGCTAGCCTCGGTGGCTAGCTAGTAGTTCTGTGACGTCCGCTGAGGTTTTGGGTGTAAAAATGATCTTGCTGCTTTACAACAAACCACACATATAATCACACATTTATTTATAACGTTACACCCCTGTTTAATTAACGAGTGAAGCGTGTCAGATGGCGTTTTTTTGCTTTTGTTTTTCTTGTCATGCATCAGTTCTCTGGCAGGATGACACACCATCCGCGAGACTTCGATCAGTGATTGATTAGTTCAGTTCGATCGCTTTTGTTGACTTCTTAAAAAACATTTTAAATAAGATTCTGAAACATCATTATGTACTCTTTGTTGTTCTAAATAATATTTTGAATCCTGAATTGCATTCACACAAATAAGCTAGCTCTTAACAATAAAGGTTTCATTAATGTATCATGAACAATCCATGAGCAATACATTTATTACTGCAATTTTAATTCTTTGTTAACGTTAGTTAATAAAGAGTTTGGTAATACTGCTGTTCTTTGTTTGTTCATGTTAGTTCACAGTGCAATAAATAATGTTAACACACAACTTTTAACTAACATTAACAAAGAGGTGCAGTTCATTATTAGGCCTAGTTCATGTAATGAAACCTTGTTGGAAAGTGTTGCCAAAACAATTTATAATGATTCTTTTTAACACTAGTCAATAGTCATTTTATTATGTGTGTAAAAAAGAAACTAGTTGGTGTTGTTACTAAAACTTTACTGTAAAAGGTATAAAACATAGCTTTAAAACATAACATATGTTGCCTTTTATATCAGGATTTTAAAATGGTAAAGCAAGTTAATTGAATAAGTTTGACTAGCAATTTTATATTTTTAAAGTTTTAAATTACTAACCTTCCACAGTAGATATAGATAATATAATCATATCCAATTCCCTTTTCACTAAATTGTCTATCATAATGGCAAATGAAGAGAATAGCTATATATTCAATTATGAACGTTCAAAAATAAATCCTGTCACGTCATAGTTGTAACATCACGTCCTGAATAGTTAAAAATGACAGTAATGTAGCCTTAATATATAAATGCTTAAATTTTGGCCTTAAGTGTCCAAAATCTATTTGCATGGCCAAACATTTCTGATAGCAAAGGAATGTAACATAAAGGATTGATGTGATGGGCAGTTAATTGGTCGCTAATTAATGACCTTATCTCACGTCATAGGGAAAGACACAGGTCTGCCTGTGTTTGTGAGGACACGACCAGAATCACATGAGTTCAGTAAAGTGTGTGTAGATTACTCACACACACCGCACAGGATGATATGAAGCAATTCTCTTCCTTGTAAGTTTTTACTAAATCAACTGGTTTATCTACTTGTGTGAGTCACTTAACCTACATGTTTGCGGTTTTGGCTTTAACTCAGACTTTTGCTGGCTGTTTGAGTCATAATTTTGTGCATTAACAGACTAGACTCTTTATCTAGAAAAGAATATTTAGCTTATGGTTCTTTGGTACATTATGTAGGAATGAGAAACTGGCCACGGGTTTATCAGAAGTCATCAGATATGTTAATTGGTCAGTGCAAGGCGTTGTGTGGTCTCTCTTTCTCTCTGAATTTGTTTTATTTTAAGGGAATGGTTTAAATGGACAAATATCTCTGGAATTTCCTGAAAAGCCAGAAGTGCTGTTCACTGAGGGAGTGGTTCTGCAGGCAAATGTCTGATTCATGTCCTGGTTTAAATTGCCCCTTTTGTGCTATTTTAAAAAGCTCATAATTTACTTTTTGAGTCTCCTGTTACACCACATTTTCATTCTTAAACGACGCGTCGGATTTATCACTATCTCTAAATCCCGCCTTTCCATTAGCCTTCTCTGCTCTGATTGGCCAGGTGGCACATCCTTGTCTTGACTGAAGCTCCCACAGCCTTACTCAGTCCTGATTGTACACACTGTAAAGAACATACCATATTTTACCATACCAATCCGAGCTCGAGTACGATGATGAAACATTGGAAGAACTAGTATTCAACCCGAACCTCCATCGCAAGCATGACTGGAGGTGTGATCCTAATTTTTATTTATTATAAATGTTATATCACTGTCTTCGATAAAGTTTTGTCCATCCATTTATTATGGTGTTTTTTTTTATTTTTAGGGTATTTTTGAATTTATTTACTTCAAAAAGTACCATATTTTCTATGTAAATTATGCTTATTTTTATGTTTTATTTTTTTATTTTTTAACTACATTAAAATATCATTTCAATAAGTTCTTAGAGCTAAAACCTAAAGATGAAGTGACTTTGCTGTCTTATTTTGGCTTATTATAGAATGCTCTAAATTACAGTTTTTCCCATTCATTTCTATGGGTGCCATTTTTTGACCCAAATATAAGATTAAGGAGGTTTTTTTTCACCCACTTAAAACTGTAGAATTGAGTCAAAAAAAATGTGCGTGTTCAGGAGGAAAACTTAGGAAAAGTAGCCAAGTCTTGTACCGCTCAGATCAAGGGAAGTATTTTTTACAAATAAATCGCAACTATTTTGCCCACATTTGTCCAGAATACGGTTTTAGGGTTAACAAGTGTGTTCATCAACTATCTGATGTGTAGCCTATATTTCTAATTTATAACCGGTTTACAAAACACAAAACTAGGTATTTTCAACACCCAGCAGAAAATATATTCATCAACAATTATTCATACTTGCAGGTTGTGATTCTGAGGAGCAAGCTGGTCCAAATAAACTGCAAATGTCTAGTGAATTAAAGAGACAGGACTCGTTTTGGCTGTTCAGAGTCGATTCTTTCTTTTTTTTTGGAAACAATAACTTTATTTATCATGCACTTAATTTTCGACTTTACATCTTTTTTGAACGTTTACATTAGGGATGCACTGATATGACAATTTTGGCCGATACCGATAACCGATAATTCTCATATTTAAAAGCCGATAATAGATATATTGGCCGATAAATCTAAATCCACATTTTTCTAAAATTTGAGAGCCTGAGTATAAAAAGTCTCCTCATTAAAAGCCAAGACACACACACAATTATGATGTTCTTATTTTAATGTTTTGTAGCCGATATGACAGATTTGCGCTGCACATTTTGCGCTTTAACTGGATTTTCCTTTTTTAAAGTGATTTCAATTGTATTTCAAGCAATTTAAAAGCATCATGTTGAACAGTGCGCATCTAAAGTGCCTCATCTGAAGGATAAAATACATTATTTATCAGCTTTTAGATATCGGCTAAATGTTCTTGTTGGGCCGATAACATTAAAAATGATGATATATCGGCCGATACCGATAATGTGGCCGATATATCGTGCATCCCTACTAGTTTACGTTCACAAACGGCTATATAACACACTGCTTGAAAGGGAATATTCTGAAAAAAAACATAATGGGGCACTCTGATAGTCATTTAACCTATCTAATACTTTTTGGGTTTACATATTTTGGCATATAATTTGACTTTCAAACATGACTTTCAGTGTATCTAGATGGTAATAGAATGGTATTTTGATCTACCACGGTACTGTTGAATACTTTAGCATGGGACAAGTCCAAAAAAAACGTGGTAGTACAGCAGTGTGGCTTTGTTCACTTATATTCTACAGGTGTGTATGCACTACACACACAAGAAGTCTGTTCTGTGGCATGACAAACACCAGGGCCTGTTTCTCTTGTACACTCATGACATCCAGCTGAATTTACCCCAGGCACTTCCTGATCAACTGGAACAGAAGCTGTTCGAACACACACCCTGTGTCACTCCTGAGCGATCGGTGTTATCTGCTGCCCTAGTCACTGTTGTTTATTTGGATATTAGTACTTGCAGACTTTTCATATGCTACATTTCAGCCTGAGCATCTGACATGAACAAGTATCATGTAAATGTGGTGTTGTGAATGACATTATATTGAAGGCTGTTTTGGGAATGTCAAAAATACTAAAATATTATATTTTAGTATTTTTATTTACTAAACCTTGGTGTGTGGCTTTTTACCTTCAAATGGTCTTTGTTTCCTGTTTACACTTCTGGGCTTCGGGTCTATACAACCCCAACAATTGATTGAGTAATTATTGCACATAAAACTTATGTTTTTAATCATACAAATAATATATAATTTTTTTTTGTTTATTTCTCATCTATTCATTAATGCTGTGTTTTTAGAGATATAAAGTACTTTTGTATCCATATACGACACAATTCCTCAACTACACCATTAGCTTGCATATGATACATTGCATTTATGCTCTAGTACTAGGCCTTCATTTCTGTGTAAAATTTTTCAGATTTATGCCGGATTTTTTTTTTTTTTTTGACACATGAAGAAAATATATTTAGTTTTTTTTCACATTTCCCATTCATTTCAAGGTGGGGTCATATTGACCCATATTGACCCATTTTTTTTTTTTTTTTTTTACATACCTTCAGAACAACCGAATCAAGCCCAGTTTTTTTGTGTGTGTAGATAAAAAATGGATGAAAAGTCACAAAATCTTATTCAAAATCTTAATTAAATTAAGTAAAATTCGATTGGGGTCGTATAGACCCCATGACCCGATTGAGGGCTACATGTGTCTGTCTATATAGTTCCTTTTAAATTGTCAGTTTTAGTCATTTTAGTACATCAAGTTAAAAGTAAATGAACATGTGAAATGTTCTATTTTTTAGTTTCAGTAAAATTTATTTTATTTTTAAATTATGATTTTAGTTAACTATAATAATAACTAGACTCTGCCTTGCCATGCAGAGATGTGAACAATTGTGCCATTAGCTCTCTATGGTGACGTGGGACCGATTTCACCTTAAATTACACTGGGAGTGTGTTCCTCTCGAGAGTCGCTGGGTCTTGTATTCAGAGGTATGTCTCTCTTTTTTTTCTCTTCCAGCAGTGGCCTGATGTGTTAGTCTGGACTTGAGACTGTCCAGGTGAAAATGAACACGTATGGTGCCAGCGGAGGCTGTGACCGCTCCAGAGATCGAAGGCGCTCCAGTGACCGCTCTCGGGACTCATCGCACGAGCGTGCAGAAGGCCAGCTCACACCCTGCATTCGCAACGTGACCTCACCCACTCGGCAACACAACAGCGGTGAGAAAACCCTCTTTGTCGTTTAGGTCCGATTTGGCTGCTCATATAAGTCCCGTGGTTTGTCATCATGTTGTGTGTCACGTGGACAGATCGCGAGGGCGGCTCATCTCGACCCAGCAGCCCGAGGCCTCAGAGGATCTCTCCCAGCAGCAGCAGCAGTGGGGTGGCCAGCAGCCGGAACAGTAGCTTGTCCAGTTCAGAGGGCACCTACAAGAGCATGGGTGAAATGGTCTTCGTCTATGAGAACCTCAAAGATGGAGCCCGCAGCGTCCGCACGTCAGAGAAGGTCACGCTCATTGTGGACAACACTCGCTTCGTGGTGGACCCATCGATTTTCACAGCGCAGCCCAACACCATGCTGGGCAGGTTAGGAGCAGACCGCTCATCTGATAAAGGGTTAACGATCACCTCATAATTTTGATTGTTTCTACTTCACACCTTTGTCATTTAAAACTTGGGTCCCACTTTATATTAATTAGCTTTAAGTACCATGCACTTAACATTGAAATGAATAATTTGATACAGTGGACGTATTGTGTACATGCATGTTTTTACATTGTACTTGTATTTAAAAAAAGACCAGCATGTAATTACAGCTGTAATTAATTTATGTACTTACATCTGTAACTACACAGCTGACCCTTCCCTTACACTTAAACCTACCCATACCACCACACCAATCCCTAACCTTACCCGTATCACACCTCAATAGCAGCAAAAGTGATTAACAATACAACATGAGCACAATAAGTGCATTGTACTTATTTTTAAATGCAAGTACATAGAACTTAAAGCCACTTAATATAAAGTGGGACCAAAACTTGTATGAAAAAGTTGAACGTATTTGTGACCACATTGCATTTGCTATGGAAATGCTAATCTGACTTGAGGTGTCCAAGAAAAAACACACATTTTTAACATCAAACTTTTACAACTTTTTTTAAGACCTGCACAAATAAAATGGATACAGCATGTCCCTACTGAACAAACCCATACAATCATGCATCTCAGATTTATTACTCAATTAAACAGTCACACGTTTAACTGCACAACGTACAAAAAGACGTTTTATTCAGTTCAGCTCATAAGTTTACATAACCCATGCAGAATATACAAGATGTTCATAATTGAGAAAATGAGGGATCATAAAAATGTAACTTTTTTTTTTTTAACAGTACCGTACTGAGATGTTGACACTAGACAAATAAACTTCATTTACACACATTTGTTTTTATACTGTGTTGATGGTCATTGACTGTTTTAGTTGTTCAAGAGTCTCTTGTTTGTCCTGAGCAGTTAAACTGCCCATCGTTCTTCAGAAAAATCCCTCGGATACCAATCTTTCTTTGATTTTTCTAGCATCTTCTGTAAGAAGACCTCTTAAAATGACAATGAACATTTTTGTGACATTTTTAAGACTTTAAATTTCCGTGATTAGATCAGTCCAGTCCTATCTTAATAGCAGGTCTCAGCAGGGACTATTTTCCACAATCTCTGGGCTGTTTTGTCCTCCATAGAAGGAAAGCAAATGGACTTACTTTTAATAACTCTCTGTGCTACACGCACACACAAAAAAAGAAAAAAAATGAGGGCGATGAGTTGAACGAACCCTTTAACTCTGTCTATTTTTGATCAGTTTTTTTTTTTCATTCTTGTTTCTAAAACGCATGTCTGTTTTTTTGTTTGTTTTTTCTTGCAGAATGTTTGGATCTGGACGGGAACACAATTTCACCCGGCCCAACGACAAAGGAGAGTATGAGGTGGCAGAGGGCATCAGCTCCACTGTGTTCAGGGCGATTCTGGTGGGTTTTTTGTCACTAAATGTCTCGTCTCTCTCGTCTTAGGTAATGATACACAGGGCAATGTTGCTTGTCAACAGGCAACCAGATGAGACACAGGGCCCACGAACGATCTAAAGTCTCCAGATAGAAATGGATTCCCAATTTTCAATGGTAAAGTGCCCATAGATTGCCCAGCAACATTGCTCTAAAAGTTGCCCTGTGTATCATCACCTTAACTACTGTCTCTCTGCGCACATTAAAGCGCGTCACACTCCGGATGCTGCAAGCAGACAGCATGTGGATTGCATGTACAGAACGATTCATTTTTGGGGGCTTTCAAAATTTAAAGAGCTAATTTTGCGATTCTTATTTATTTATTTTTTTCATTTTAATGTCTTAAAAATATTTAACACAATTAACACAGCTTACGTTTTTTACTGGCATCCTTTGGCTTGCATTACATATGATCGTGCTAGTGCTTTTAAACCATTCAAGCGTGATAAGACACGAAAGAGAGCTTGTGTGTGTGTGTGTGTGTGTGTGTGAAGAGTTCAGATGCAAAAGCCTCTAAATGTCATTTGAAATTTTCTTCTTTAATGATGATTTTTATCAAACTTGTATATTTAAGTTCAGTAATTTCACTTAAATAACAATTAATAGGTAATTATCATTGCCATTTAAGTGAAATCATTGAACTTAAATATACTAGCTTGATAAATGATCATTCTAGAAGAAAATTTCAAATGGCACTTAGAGGCTTTTGCATCTGAACTCTTCATATGTTGGCGCAATGTCTGTAAAGTGGCTCCAGAAGCACGCATTGAGTTATTTTACGCTTGAACAGACTTAAATGAGTTAAGTCTTGAATAACTGTAAGGAGTTGAGAACATCGACTTTGTGTCAGATTCGCAACCTGATAAATCTGCTGTAGACCGTCAGTAATGGGAATTAAATAAATTAAGTTGTTTTATCTATCATTTTTATTAAAGATTAAAAATGATGTCTCTCAATCATACTGTAATGTTGAATGTTTATGACTTTTTTTCATCCCAAGAAATTGAGAAAGATGCATTAGCAGCAGTCTTGGTATTAGTACTTAGTAAAGAGATGCCATTTAGCAAATATTATAAAAAAAATACAGTCTTCATGATGTTTCTACATTTCAGTGTGAAATTATATAATATAAAAATATAATTATTATTTGAATGCTTGGTGAATTTAATTTCAGAAAAATGTGTGAATTAGTTACTTTTTTATCCACAAGTTTCCTACGCCCCATGAGGCCTTGCGTCAAAAGTGGGCGCGACTTCCGGTTTGAAGTAAACAAAGCGCTACTTGACATGCTTGACACTCGTTCATTCAACAGTTGACAGTCATTCAAGTTATAGCGATCCAAACTAGCTAACGATGTGGGAACACAACCTCAACGAAATTCAAAAGGGTGAAATAACAGTACCTTTACCCTCCGCAGTAGTTGATTGGGAGTATTATAATAACATTATTAATAATCAATACTCATCAAGGCATGGTGACAGACAGTTGTGCGAGCTGACAAACAAATAAAATAAAAAATACACACTTAGTCATTGTGCTTTGGAGTTTATTCAAAATTATAAATGAATGTGCTACTTGAATACATTAACTGGCACATTTGGTATTCTGTCACCTCAGGCTTTAATCCTGAGTTTAGGTGTAACATCAATAGTGAACAGCCAAACACATGCTGATAGAGTTTATAGAATATTAAGAATTTAAACAAATGTACACAGGATGATTCGTTGTCTTTTGGGAGGTGATGGAAACTACAGTCGTTGGTAGGATTACTGTGATTTCGTTTTCAGCTTATGTTCAAAACAATCACGTTTAAGCCACTGAATTAGTTTAGTCCGGTTATACATACAACCGCGAACAGCACATGTTGTCCCTGAGCTCCGTAACGACATCTCTCATAAAGATTGGCGTCTTTAAATAGTAAAATAATTCTCCGAAAAACAGCTAGCCTCTTCGCTAACTAACACACAAAATACCATTGGAATGCTACTTCCGCCGCCTCACCGGAAGTTTCACCCACTTTATTTTTTACATGAGCGCCCCTCGGAAACTTGTGGATAGATTGACAGCACTATTCATTTTATTTATGATACCTGTGCGTTTCCCTACCTATGGCGTGATGCTTTGTGTCTGATGAGTGACCCACTTAACAGACTCTTAACAAACAAATTCTAGGCTCTGGTTTCAAATATAAATATTTCATTTATAAGTTCTAATATGACGACTTTCATCACGTGGCTTTATTACACCTCGTCACTTTATGCATTAAAACGCTTGTCTCTACAAAACGGATATGAATCCGATCTTCCTTTCCCACGTCAATGAAAGCAACAGATATGAGCTTCATCAGCTAATTTCAATATCAAAGATAAAAATGGGCTCTATGCACGGCGGTCTTTCCGGTGAAGGTGTAAGGATGCTCGATAACTTCCGCCAATGCAATACCGAGAATTTATATTGAATTTTATACTCCATGGTTATACTAAAGAAACGTTAGTCACAAAAACAGACACCCCTCGTTGTGTTTATGCTTCTTTTTAAAATTATATTAAATAAACAACTATATATAAAATTACATCTAAACGTATGTACGTTTCGTTTCAAAGACGGGAGGACAGTAAATTTTGAAGACTCTGCCATAATCCCGTTTTCCTCCTCTTTAATCTCCACAACCGGAAATGGACGAGCATCCTTGCGTCAAATGCGGAATTTATGCGTGCATAGCCCATAGGAGAGAGAGCAGCATCAACACTGGTAAGATCACTTTTAATGAAGATGATTGTGTGTTGTTGAGCGCTTGCTGAAGATACTCAGCCACTCATCTGCGGCACGTGTTGCGTTATCGCTGTTATATCCGGCTATAACATGCTCTCATGTCATGTGTTTATTTTTTATTTTTTTGTACATTTTGGGAGGAGTAAAATTTACCTATGGTTTCAACAACCAGATGCATTTACACTTTTCCAGTGTCGTTTGGAATGCATCTCAAATCACCTCCTGAAGTGGCTTGATTGATCGGATTTAAGTCGCTCTCGAAAGCGTTTACGCCTGGTCTTTTCACGATCGGATGGCTACTCCATATGAACAAACCAGCTGTAAACAGGCCTAAAGAACTCCCTAATTGTGTTTATATGGCAGAACAACACTTGTTAATTGGAAGACGCAGTGATTTGTATTCGTAAATGAATATTGTCTGTGGTTTGGTCACTGTGGGCTGCTTCGTCTCTGGGAACATCTCGTAATGAGCTTCCAGCAATAGCTTTTAAATAATGCTGTTAAGTGCAGCATAAGCCTGTCATCAGCTTTGCTGTAATGATCTTTGGCCACAGTGTCTGTTATGTGTCTCAGGGCAGTGTTTATTGTGCTGCTGTACCTCAGAGGAATCAATAAACTCTGATGAGTGCATTCAAACAATGTCACTGACTAGCAATCCGGAGAGAGGATGTGTTGAGCATGAGAGCTTTATTAGAAGCGTTCAATTTGCAGGACCAATCTGAACTGCACTATAATAATCACTAGAGAGGATATGGACAGCGTCTGGTTTTGAATCACCATCACTTTTGTGAGCTCTTTGGCTGTAACACATCATGGGCACGTGGTCTTCTGTAGATGTGTCTGATATTAAACTTCGGACTGTTTTTTGCGGGTTCTTGAAATCCTTGAAAGTTTGTGAATCTGAATCTTTTTTTTTTTTTTTTTAATCTTGAATCCTGAATCTTGTGAATCTTTTTTTTTTTTTTTTTCCAAGGCCCTGGAAAGTTTTTGCGAAAAATAAAATAAAACTTTTATTGATTTCATCCTTGAAAGTGCTTGAATTTATTTTGTACATGAATTTTTCTGGAAAAAGTTCCATACTATGCCCTCCGCTCCACTAATGTGTTATTTTGCCAACACTTCGTAGCCTATGTACACTAGCTTGCTTGTTTTACGTTAGTTACGCGCATTTATGCTTTATGTTAAGTGTTTCCGAGTGAGGTACTTTTTGTACGTTGCCATGATGTTCACTCACGCAAAACTAACAATGTATCCTACAAGGTAACACTGTAACATTTGAAATGTGTCCCCACATTAATTCCTTGAATTTAAGGGTATTGGACCTGGAAAGTCCTTGAAAGATCCTTGATTTCGAAGTTACCCTGTGTAATGGACGTAACCAGTAAATAGCTGATATTAAAGTTCCACATCTTTCTGTCTAAGTAAAAGCTAAAACGAACCATTTAAAAATGCTGCAAGAGAAATTCCAGCATTATAATGTAAAATATCATATTTTTATACACGCATCTCCGCACTATTGACACTTCAGAGTGATGAAACGCATGAATGAGAATATAAACAGCGTCATAAAAAGTTAAAAGAGCAATATAACTTGAACCAATTTGCTACGTCCTCGGTCTTAAAGGAGTAGTTCACTTTTAAAAAAACCTATGCTGATGATTTACTCACCCCCATGTCATCCAAGATGTTCATGTCTTTCTTTCTTCAGTCAAAACGAAATTAAGGTTTTTGATGTGGATTTTTCTCCATATAATGGACTTCAATGGGAACCAAACGGTCCAAAAGACAGTTTCAGTGCAAACTGTTCAAAGGGCTTTAAACGATTTCAGATGATGAATAAGGGTCTTATCAAGCGAAACAAATCTCGAATCAACTCATTTTGTTCGTTGAATGAACCAAATGACACGAAAAAGGATTTGTTCATTTTGATGAACGAGTTCGAACAGAAGAGTCACGAACGCGCATCACAGAACAGAGCAATGTGACCATATGAGCTTATAAAACTTAAACTTTGTTATTTATTTATTAAATGAGCGATCGTTTCGCTTGATAAGACCCTTATTCATCGTCTGGAATCGTTTAAAGCCCTTTGAACAGTTTGCACTGAAACTGTCTTTTGGACCTTGAACTGTTTGGTTCCCATTGAAGTCCATTATATGAAGAAAAATCTTGGAATGTTTTCATCAAAAACCTTAATTTCTTTTTGACTCAAGAAAGAAAGACATGGACATCTTGGATGACATGGGGGTGAGTAAATTATCAGCAAAAGTTTTTTTTTTTTTTTTTTTTTAAGTCAACTACTCCTTTAAAAAGTGTTAATCACAATAAGCAGTAAAAAAAAAATAAAACACGCCGACTGACACAGCATAAGCGTGCAATCGGGAATTGAGTTCTTTCATGTCTTCTTGTGCTTCAAGTTGATTCTGAACTGCTGAAATCACTCGTCAGTCCTATTACAAACATGCATAGGTTTATAACATGTTTGCATAATGCCCGCCTACGGCCTTCATTGGCTATTTAACAACGTCTACTTTGACTCGCCCTCAAACTCCGCTCATGTTGTCGAGAAGAAGCTGTTTTCTGCGCTGCGAAAGCAAATCCACTTCAAAAGAATGAGGTTTGAAAGTTGATAAATAGATATGGTAATGGACTTTTTTTTTCCCAACACAAGCTGTAAGCAGTAGACCAATCACAACGGACTGGGCCATCTGATCAATCAGAGTAGGATCTCAGAAAGGAGTTTAGCTAGACTGAATGAATTCTTGATCGTTTCAGACGCTGTGAGAAAAAAGGTGATGCTGCAATGTATATCATGAGAAAATGACAGTGTTTTTGACTTTGGATGCATATAAACCTGTTGTAAGAAACAAAATGAAGAGCAGCTTCTGTAATGCCATCCTTTGTGTTTTCTGTTCTTTCTCTAACTGGCAGGATTACTATAAATCTGGGATAATCCGCTGTCCTGATGGAATCTCCATTCCCGAGCTAAGGGAAGCGTGCGACTATCTGTGCATCTCCTTTGACTACAGTACTATCAAGTGTCGAGACCTGAGTGAGTCATTCCTCAGTGGCAGTACTGGGATCTGGCAACTGTGATGTTTTACCCGTGTTCTCAGCCTCATGGCTGGCAGATTTCCCTGCTTTTGAACAGGTGCTTGTTTATTGACCCAGTTTGTCTCGTCAGGTGCCCTGATGCACGAGCTGTCCAATGACGGCGCTCGGAGGCAGTTTGAGTTCTATCTGGAGGAGATGGTGCTCCCTCTGATGGTGGCAAGCGCTCAGAGCGGAGAGAGGGAGTGTCACATCGTAGTGCTCACAGACGATGATGTGGTGGACTGGGACGAGGAGTACCCGCCTCAGATGGGAGAGGAGTATTCACAAAGTAATCACACACACACCTTTCTGGATTATCTTCAAAACATTTCTTGAGTGTTTTTTTTTATTGATGCACCCAATTTTTTTTTTTTTTTTTTTACTGAAATCAATATTACAACTTATTTAGCTGAAATAAAATTCCAGTTAATGCATTTTTTATGTAAACTTATATATATATATATAGTTGAGTTTTTACTCCAGGTCATGTATAAAATGTTAACATTTAGGCCCTGTCCCATTTCTCCCCCCTTAAAATTTCCACTTGGTTTTGAGTGCCCTCGGTAGTAAGTGTGGGGGTGAAGATCTTTCGCTATGAAATGGGACGCCACTATATGCAAATTAGCGTAGCGAACGTGCATGTCAACCAGTAGTAGCCTACAGCTATTTTCATTCAGTCATTTTGCCATATTTTTGTTTGTATTTGATCATTTACATGCATAATTTACCTCATTTTTATCATCCTTGGAAGCCAAAATCAAAATTGAAAATAAAATTAGATTAACTCCCCAGATCAGATGTATATTTGATGGGCAGACTCTCTCGAAGCACTCGGCAGATGTCATGAGCATCGTCAGATCAGCTTTGTGAAATATTTTGAAACATTAGTGTTCAAAACTCTACAGTCCATTAGATGTGCTTTAAACTAATATATTCGAACATATTTTGAAAGTTTAACATGCTTATTTGCGAAAATATTCTTAGTTCCTTTCCAGCGGTGTCCATCTTGGCCGGCTCACTGAGTTCGCAAGGTATCCTGGGTAATTTCATCTCCCACATCGTTTTAAGCCTGCATCGGACCTCACTATGTTTTGAGGGTTAATTTTAAGGGAAGAATAGCACTCCCCCTTGCTCCCTAAAGTTTTGGGACACCCTACACGAGCATGCACAAAAACGAGAGTTACGGCAAAAATCTAGGGGAAGGGGAGGTATTGGGACAGGCCCTTAAACTAAGACTGTAAATTATTAATTAAATAAAGACATCACTAACAGGTTAAGTAAAAAATTATTTTGGTGCATCACTGGTGTTTTTATCTGTGACGACAACAAATACTTATTTTTTCTCTTTTACAGTTATATACAGTACAAAGCTGTATCGTTTCTTCAAGTACATTGAAAACCGTGATGTAGCCAAATCAGTTTTAAAAGATCGAGGACTTAAGAAAATCAGGCTGGGCATTGAAGGTAAGAGTTCACTTTTTTTTTTTTACAATATTATACCTATTTAATCAAACATGCAATCTTATTTTAATAATTTAAAGGGAAAGTTCACCCCGAAATTAATGTTCACTGCAGTAGCAGAGGATTCAATATGGCAACAGGTGTCAGGTTTAACTATTAAACCTCAGAACCAATGATGTTCATTGTCTTCCAATCTGACATTGTCATTATATGAGCAGAACGGCCGGTGGCCGATATTGCATTATTAAATTAATGCATGCATTCTACAACTAAATTATAGCCAATGAGATGCACAAAATTAGCTTATTTTACACATTTACTCAACCTACTACACATTTTAAAACAAATTATTTACCATCCCGTGATAAAGCGGAGTCAGTACAATTAGGTCAAGCCGTAATGAGCTGATACATCAGTGTCCACTTCTAGTCAAAAGGGGCCGTATTTGATTTGTACGTTACAGTGAAGGCCAAGGTTCTACGTGAGGGAGAGTATGATGATGACAACATTTTTGTTTTTGGTTAACTTGTCCATAATGGTTATGTTTACCCCTAAAACCGTATTCTGGACAAATGCGGGCAAAATACTTTTGATTTCTTTTTAAAAAAAATACTTCCCTTGATCTGAGCGGTACAAGACTTGGCTACTTTTCCTAAGTTTGCCTCCTGAACACACACATTTTTTTGGCTCAATTCTACAATGTTAAGTGGGTGAAAAAAAAAATGGTCAAAAATGGGCACCCATAGAAATGAATGGGAAAAACTGTATTTTAGAGCATTCTAAAATAAGCCAAAAATAAGATGGCAAAGTCGCTTAATTTTTAGGTTTTAGCTCTAAGAACTTATAGGAATGATATTTTAATGTAGTTAAAAAAAATTAAAAAATAAAACATAAAAACAAGCATAACTTACACTGAAAATATGGTACTTTTTGATGTAAATAAATTCAAAAATACCCCCAAAATAAATAAAAAAACACCATAAATGGATAGACAAAACTTTATCGAAGACAGTGATATAACATTTGAGTCCTCTGTGCCCACATTTGTCCACAATTACAGGATTAAGGGCTATAAAGTGAACATACCAAAAGACACAACTTTTGAATATCCAATCTGTAGGTTATCCAACATACAAAGAGAAGGTGAAGAAGCGTCCCGGTGGTCGACCTGAAGTCATCTACAATTACGTCCAAAGACCCTTCATCCGCATGTCCTGGGAGAAGGAGGAAGGCAAGAGTCGACACGTGGACTTCCAGTGCGTGAAGAGCAAGTCCATCACGAACCTGGCAGCGGCGGCGGCGGACATTCCCCAGGACCAGCTTGTGGTGATGCACCCCGGACCACAGGTGGATGAACTGGACATTCTCCCCAACCACCCTCCCCCCGGTCACCACCACAGCAACGAGCCCGACCCCGACGCCCCGTCGCCTGCCGTCTGAGAGCAGACGTCCTCCACCGCATGCTCAGCATGAACCAGAGACACTATAACCAGATTGCCTTCTGCACCTCCTCCACAGCCTTAGAGCCTCAACTGTCTAGTTACTGTATTTAAAAAGAGGGAAAAAAATACTCCATGGACTTGGGATGCTGGCATGGTCAGTGGTCTCCCGTTTTGTCTTCGCTGTTCTGTTCTTTTTTTTTTTTTTACTTGACCAAAGGAAATTTATTTTTGTTTGTTTGAAATGAAATTAGCAACCTCACTTATTTTGTAATTTGACCTTGATTCTAATTATTGTTACTATCGTTGTTTTACATTTGACTTCTATTATTAGTGCAACGAGTTTAATTATTATTAATATTATGACGTTCCTTTCACTTGATGCCACTTTTTCTTTTGGAAAGCTCTCCTCGGGAGGTCCATTTTGCCTGGTGAATGAATGCAGTGTTTTTCTCAGCTGGACATTAATTTATCTACTCAAGATCTGTCTGTTCAAGCGCTTGAAAATCATTGTATTAATAAAGATATATAATGTTAATGTGCTCTGTTTGATGTCAAAGACAGTATAGATGAAGAGTGTTGGCTGTATAATTGGCTAGGGCCGTTTTATTACCTGCACTAAACTTCATCAGGTTTGGGAATGCGTAGAATTCAGATAAAAACAAGTTTTTTCTGTAAACACAGAGAACGCAATTTCTAATTTAAAGAAAAAATATTTGGTGCTTTTTTTTTTTTTTTGTATTTTTTATCTGAATGGTGTACTCACAAGAAATGAAGATTGTACTCAAATAGTTTTCCATAAAAATAATATAATATAAAGAGAAAAATACTTTTTATTTAAAAAAAATGTCACTGCCTTTTTGTTAATTTAAATCGTATACCTTCAGATAAAATAAATCATACATGTTAGAATACATACTATGTTACATATTGTTTTTTTTATAAGTAAATATGCAGAAACACAAAAATAACTGAAATCATCTCTTAGCCAAACAAGACGTGCTCCATTCTGTCCATTAAAACAATATCCTTGCACTGATGATGATGGTGTTGTAGGATGAGCAATCTAACACCGTCACTTGTCCTCAATGCAAGTGAAATAGTAACAAGATTTGACACATTGGAATATACAGCTGTGGAGTGGGATTGTGGACCAATGAGATTTTGCTATCTGAGGCATTGAGACATCAAGAAAAAACAAACTGTCCAGACGTGTTGATTGTCAAAGTCATGGCTGGTCATCACGTGAACGGGATGGAGTTACTGTATGTTGCAGGATACAGTGTGTCAGGTGGTACAGATGATGGGTGAACTCTCACAGTGGCCAGGGTAAGTCACTGAAGTCCACTGGACCCCCGAGGCCCGCATCCGCCTCCAGCAGGCTCATGATGATCGCCATCGCAGCCTCATCACTACTGGGACTGCTGGAACCGGGCTCGTCCAGGATGTCACCCATACCAATGTGTGAATGATCGCCTGACAAATCAATGATCAAGTAAGTCTGGTGCCTTACAGTCATTTTTGACCGAAAAAGTGTACATTTGAGAACTTTTTTCTTCATCGGAATGGTACGAAACTTGGTAAACGAAAACTTCGAACTGATTAAATGGTCCTGAAAAAAAAAATAGTCACACTTGTACTCCTCACGGTCAAAAATGACCACATAGGAATTGAATCTGAGACTGAATCTTACTAAAGACGATTTTTTTAAGACCTCAGGCTCAAATTTTGAAAATTTGTTTAGATTTATGGCTTTGATTTTCAGTTTTAGAGTAAAACATGTTTTTGAAAATATTTATTTCATTTGAAAATTGAATGTAGTTTTTTTCATGACAATAAACGTAAATTCTGTTTTTCACATCTTTGAAAAGAAATCAAACTTAAGTCTGTGATCTAAAGCATTCAAGATTTACGACAGTTTAAGTTGGAAATTTATGCTCAAAAAGTGAATAAATGGATTATAAATACAGCGAAAATATAATTTAGTACCATAAAATCCCCTGAAAATAGAAAATATTAAATAAAAAAACATTATCAAGCTAAAATAGAGTACATTCATTTCATTGAAAAAAATTAAATAAAATTTGGTAATTTTTAACCGACACACGAAGAGTACCAGAAGGTTAAAACTTACTTAAAACAGAGCTGTTAGAGAAAGGATATCCTATGCTGTCCTGGCCTGACATCATCCCAGCAGAAGGAAGGTCTGGAGTTCCAGCATTTGAAAACTGAGAAGTTAGGAAAACATTTAATCAGGAGATGCATTAACATTGCATTAACGTTCTGTAACTCTTAAAAGGGATAGTTCACTTTGAAATACATTTTTGGTCTGTTTTAGCTTACCTCAAGAGCATCCAAGATGTAGGTGTCTTTGTTTCCACAGTATTTTCAATAATGATATTTTTAGGTCAAACCGTTCTTGTCTGTCAGTCATATAATGGAGGTCTATGGTCACCACCTCAAAGAGCATGCACAGAGAAGTCCAAATTAAACATGATTTAATGACTCGTTAATGTAAGTACACATTGATGGCCTAAGACACGAAACGAGCGGTTTGTGTGAGAAAACGAACAGTATTTATATCGTTTTTAGCTCTTGTAATCACAGCCACGTCCAAGTGATATCTTGCGCGTGTGCGTCACTCATTGTTTACACAGAGATTTTAAAAGTGTTTCCCTTCACTATGAAGATCTTAACATATTTACATATACAGGAAATTGCAATGGAATTTTTTTCACTTCCAGCACTTGCGCAGACCGAAGCGCCCGCGCACTCAGATCACTTGGACGTAGCTGTGGTTACAAGAGGTAAAAACGATATAAATACTGTTCGTTTTCTCACACAAACCGCTCGTTTCGTGTCTTAGGCCATCAATGTGTACATACATTTACGAGTCATTGAATCATGTTTAATTCGGACTTCTCTGTGCATGCTCTTTGAGGTGGTGACCATAGACCTCCATTATATGACTGACAGACAAGAACGGTTTGACCTAAAAATATCAAAATTAAAAGTACTGCGGAAACAAAGACACCTACATCTTGGATGCCCTTGAGGTAAGATAAAACATGCCAAAAATTAATTTCAAAGTGAACTATCCCTTTAAGGGCTGTGCGATATGTCTAATTTTTTATAATAGTCAAAAGTACCGACTTCGGTACCAAGTCTGTACTGAAATTTTAAAAATGTGATGCTTTGAGCACTGTTTGAGTGGAATCATTAACACCTCTGATTGGCCACTGTGTTCACGAACTCATCTGATATGTCTGTGATTGGCTACAATGATCAACGCACGGGAGCGTTTGAAAGGTTTTGGAGGCGTGTAGATAGACGCTTAATAGACGCTTGATTTCAAACAATCCCGTGTGTATCTGTGTAAGCGTTTGCCGAAGAGCATCATTGATGTATATTTACAACATGTTTTTAAAGCGCTGATCATTGTAGCCAATCACAGACATATTTGATGAGTATGTGAGCATAATAGCCAATCAGAAGTGTTTACGATTACGCGCAAAGTGTCAATTTTTAAAAATTTCAGTATCGACTTTTGACAACACTAATTTGGTCAATATCACACATCCCTGACGGAGACTGAAGCCCAAACGTCACCTTCCTCCCCGCAGGGGACGATGTGTCAGGAGGGGGTGTGCTGTTGGTGATGTTGAGGGGGCTTGAGCCACAACTAGACGGGGATGAGCCTCTTATCCTGTCAATCATATCAATGAACGATGAAACCAGATGCAATGTCATCAAGAGTGCAGATTATTAGGCGTAAAACTGATCCGCTCACCTTTGGATCTCCATCACTTCCTCTGCGATCATGCGTCCGATCTTTCCTGCCCCGGGTCTCGTTCTTCCAGGGATTCCGGGAACAGACTTCACTGAGCCTGCAGGAGAACAGTTGACAAGACATTGACTGCCGACGTATATCCGTACAAATCAAAGTGCTATGCTACATTCCAGCAGTGTAGTCTTCTTTAGCAAACTGTGGTACAAGCAATCTCTTTCCGTCTTACATATTTATATACACACGCCCTGCCCAATATATATATATATATATATATATATAATATATATAATAGTAAAGTTAAAGAGAATATTGATATGATCCACCTTGACACTAAATATATTATATATATATATATATATATATATATATATATAAAGTAGTCAACATTTGAAGTAGATCAAAAAAGTTCAAAAAATTTATCCTAAGACAAGATCCACTTAAAATGTTGACTAATATATATATATATATATATATATATATATATATATAGTCAACATTTTAAGTAAATATATATATATATATATATATATATATATTAGTAATTTAAAAATTAAAAAAAAATATGATTTTTAAAATATATTATACACTGGTATGTATATATATATACATAATATCTTTAGTGTCAAGGTGGATGGTATAAATATTCTCTTAAACTTTGTCCTGTTGTGAAATTTTGAATTTTGATATCTCAGCTCTGGAAGGGTCTAGAGCCTCCATTTTTGCACTCAGGTCAAAGTCTCGTGGCCCTCTATCATAATCCAGAGTTTTGAGAAGATTGGAGAAACTTAATTTTTCGCCCGAAAACAAAAAAAAACGAAAGGGGTAACACTGTCGTTTTTTTTTCGGGTCGAAATTTTGAATGTTGATATCTCAGCTCTGGAAGGGTCTAGAGCCTCCATTTTTGCACTCAGGTCAAAGTCTCGTGGCCCTCTATCATAATCCAGAGTTTTGAGAAGATTGGAGAAACTTAATTTTTCGCCCGAAAACGGAAAAAAACGAAAGGGGTAACACTGTCGTTTTTTTGGGGGGGCCAAATTTTGAATTTCGATATCTCAGCTCTGGAAGGGTCTAGAGCCTCCATTTTTGCACTCAGGTCAAAGTCTCGTGGCCCTCTATCAGAATCCAGAGTTTTGAGAAGATTGGAGAAACTTAATTTTTCACCCGAAAACAAAAAAAAACGAAAGGGGTAACACTGTCGTTTTTTTTTCGGGTCCAAATTTTGAATGTTGATATCTCAGCTCTGGAAGGGTCTAGATCCTCCATTTTTGCACTCAGGTCAAAGTCTCGTGGCCCTCTATCATAATCCAGAGTTTTGAGAAGATTGGAGAAACTAAATTTTTCGCCCGAAAACGGAAAAAAACGAAAGGGGTAACACTGTCGTTTTTTTTTTCGGGTCGAAATTTTGAATTTTGATATCTCAGCTCTGGAAGGGTCTAGAGCCTCCATTTTTGCACTCAGGTCAAAGTCTCGTGGCCCTCTATCATAATCCAGAGTTTTGAGAAGATTGGAGAAACTTAATTTTTCACCCGAAAACAAAAAAAAACGAAAGGGGTAACACTGTCGTTTTTTTTTCGGGTCGAAATTTTGAATTTGATATCTCAGCTCTGGAAGGGTCTAGAGCCTCCATTTTTGCACTCAGGTCAAAGTCTCGTGGCCCTCTATCATAATCCAGAGTTTTGAGAAGATTGGAGAAACTTAATTTTTCGCCCGAAAACGGAAAAAAACGAAAGGGTAACACTGTCGTTTTTTTTCGGGTCGAAATTTTGAATTTCGATATCTCAGCTCTGGAAGGGTCTAGAGCCTCCATTTTTGCACTCAGGTCAAAGTCTCGTGGCCCTCTATCAGAATCCAGAGTTTTGAGAAGATTGGAGAAACTTAATTTTTCACCCGAAAACAAAAAAAACGAAAGGGGTAACACTGTCGTTTTTTTTTTCGGGTCCAAATTTTGAATGTTGATATCTCAGCTCTGGAAGGGTCTAGATCCTCCATTTTTGCACTCAGGTCAAAGTCTCGTGGCCCTCTATCATAATCCAGAGTTTTGAGAAGATTGGAGAAACTTAATTTTTCGCCCGAAAACGAAAAAAAAACGAAAGGGGTAACACTGTCGTTTTTTTTCGGGTCGAAATTTTGAATTTTGATATCTCAGCTCTGGAAGGGTCTAGAGCCTCCATTTTTGCACTCAGGTCAAAGTCTCACAGCCCTCTATCATAATCCAGAGTTTTGAGAAGATTGGAGAAACTTAATTTTTCGCCCGAAAACGGAAAAAAACGAAAGGGGTAACACTGTCGTTTTTTTTTTGGGGTCCAAATTTTGAATTTTGATATCTCAGCTCTGGAAGGGTCTAGAGCCTCCATTTTTGCACTCAGGTCAAAGTCTCGTGGCCCTCTATCATAATCCAGAGTTTTGAGAAGATTGGAGAAACTTAATTTTTCGCCCAAAAACGGAAAAAAAACGAAAGGGGTAACACTGTCGTTTTTTTTTCGGGTCGAAATTTTGAATTTCGATATCTCAGCTCTGGAAGGGTCTAGAGCCTCCATTTTTGCACTCAGGTCAAAGTCTCGTGGCCCTCTATCAGAATCCAGAGTTTTGAGAAGATTGGAGAAACTTAATTTTTCGGCCGAAAACGGAAAAAAAAACGAAAGGGGTAACACTGTCGTTTTTTTTTTTTCGGGTCGAAATTTTGAATTTCGATATCTCAGCTCTGGAAGGGTCTAGAGCCTCCATTTTTGCACTCAGGTCAAAGTCTCGTGGCCCTCTATCATAATCCAGAGTTTTGAGAAGATTGGAGAAACTTAATTTTTCGCCCGAAAACAAAAAAAAACGAAAGGGGTAACACTGTCGGTTTTTTTTCGGGTCGAAATTTTGAATTTCGATATCTCAGCTCTGGAAGGGTCTAGAGCCTCCATTTTTGCACTCAGGTCAAAGTCTCGTGGCCCTCTATCAAAATCCAGAGTTTTGAGAAGATTGGAGAAACTTAATTTTTAGCCCGAAAACGGAAAAAAACGAAAGGGGTAACACTGTCGTTTTTTTTTGGGGCCAAATTTTGAATTTCGATATCTCAGCTCTGGAAGGGTCTAGAGCCTCCATTTTTGCACTCGGGTCAAAGTCTTGTGGCCCTCTATCAGAATCCAGAGTTTTGAGAAGATTGGAGAAACTTAATTTTTCACCCGAAAACGAAAAAAAACGAAAGGGGTAACACTGTCGTTTTTTTTTTTGGTCGAAATTTTGAATTTGATATCTCAGCTCTGGAAGGGTCTAGAGCCTCCATTTTTGCACTCAGGTCAAAGTCTCGTGGCCCTCTATCATAATCCAGAGTTTTGAGAAGATTGGAGAAACTTAATTTTTCGCCTGAAAACGAAAAAAACGAAAGGGGTAACACTGTCGTTTTTTTTTTTCGGGTCGAAATTTTGAATTTTGATATCTCAGCTCTGGAAGGGTCTAGAGCCTCCATTTTTGCACTCAGGTCAAAGTCTCGTGGCCCTCTATCATAATCCAGAGTTTTGAGAAGCGAAAACGAAAAAAAAAAACAAAAGGGGTAACACTGTCGTTTTTTTTTTCGGGTCGAAATTTTGAATTGTGATATCTCAGCTCTGGAAGGGTCTAGAGCCTCCATTTTTGCACTCAGGTCAAAGTCTCGTGGCCCTCTATCATAATCCAGAGTTTTGAGAAGATTGGAGAAACTTAATTTTTCGCCCGAAAACTGAAAAAAACGAAAGGGGTAACACTGTCGGGTTTTTTTTCGGGTCGAAATTTTGAATTTCGATATCTCAGCTCTGGAAGGGTCTAGAGCCTCCATTTTTGCACTCAGGTCAAAGTCTCGTGGCCCTCTATCAGAATCCAGAGTTTTGAGAAGATTGGAGAAACTTAATTTTTCGCCTGAAAACGAAAAAAAACGAAAGGGGTAACACTGTCGTTTTTTTTTTCGGGTCGAAATTTTGAATTTTGATATCTCAGCTCTGGAAGGGTCTAGAGCCTCCATTTTTGCACTCAGGTCAAAGTCTCGTGGCCCTCTATCATAATCCAGAGTTTTGAGAAGATTGGAGAAACTTAATTTTTCGCCCGAAAACGAAAAAAAACGAAAGGGGTAACACTGTCGTTTTTTTTGGGGGGCCAAATTTTGAATTTCGATATCTCAGCTCTGGAAGGGTCTAGAGCCTCCATTTTTGCACTCAGGTCAAAGTCTCGTGGCCCTCTATCATAATCCAGAGTTTTGAGAAGATTGGAGAAACTTAATTTTTCGCCCGAAAACTGAAAAAAACGAAAGGGGTAACACTGTCGTTTTTTTTTCGGGTCGAAATTTTGAATTTCGATATCTCAGCTCTGGAAGGGTCTAGAGCCTCCATTTTTGCACTCAGGTCAAAGTCTCGTGGCCCTCTATCAGAATCCAGAGTTTTGAGAAGATTGGAGAAACTTAATTTTTCGCCCGAAAACGAAAAAAAAATAAAGGGGTAACACTGTCGTTTTTTTTTTTGGGTCGAAATTTTGAATTTTGATATCTCAGCTCTGGAAGGGTCTAGAGCCTCCATTTTTGCACTCAGGTCAAAGTCTCATGGCCCTCTATCATAATCCAGAGTTTTGAGAAGATTGGAGAAACTTAATTTTTCGCCCGAAAACTGAAAAAAACGAAAGGGGTAACACTGTCGTTTTTTTTTCGGGTCGAAATTTTGAATTTTGATATCTCAGCTCTGGAAGGGTCTAGAGCCTCCATTTTTGCACTCAGGTCAAAGTCTCACAGCCCTCTATCATAATCCAGAGTTTTGAGAAGATTGGAGAAACTTAATTTTTCGCCCGAAAACGAAAAAAAAACGAAAGGGGTAACACTGTCGTTTTTTTTTTTCGGGTCGAAATTTTGAATTTTGATATCTCAGCTCTGGAAGGGTCTAGAGCCTCCATTTTTGCACTCAGGTCAAAGTCTCACAGCCCTCTATCATAATCCAGAGTTTTGAGAAGATTGGAGAAACTTAATTTTTCGCCCGAAAACGGAAAAAAACGAAAGGGGTAACACTGTCGTTTTTTTTTTCGGGTCGAAATTTTGAATTTTGATATCTCAGCTCTGGAAGGGTCTAGATCCTCCATTTTTGCACTCAGGTCAAAGTC